GGGCCGCGCCAGAGCCCAGGACCGGCGCGCGGGGAGCCGGGGAGCCGGGAGCCGAGCCCGAGCGCCGCGATGCCGATCACCTCCTGCCGGAGCTCGGGGGCCTGGGACGCACCGGCCGAAGTGTGATTGGACTCCAGGCTGGCCACAAAGGGCACAGCAGCTTGGCCTGGGGGCTAGGAGAGCGAGGGGAGAGCGCGGCCACCCGCCTCGGCGGCCTGGGACTCGGCTCGACTCGCCGGAGAATGCGCCCGAGGACGCCGGAGCGCCGGAGCCGCGGGGGTTTCAACTGGCTAGCGCTGATGGGGGAGCGCTGGAGTAAAGCAGAGTGATGCGGGGGGGCAGCTCGCCCGGCACCGAGATCGCCGCTGCGCCCTTCCCCGGACCCGGCGTCGCCCAGGATGGCTGCCCCGAGCCATGGGCCGCGGCAGAGCTAGCGCGGAGCGCCCGACCCTCGCCCCCCAAGTCCCGGAGCCGGCCCCGCGCGGGGCCACGCGTCCCCCGGGCGCTGCTGGTTCCTAAGGACAACGACCGCACCAGCTTTTCCTTTCTCCCTTCCCTTCCCTGCCCCGCACTCCTCCCCCTGCTCGCTGTTGTTGTGTGTCAGCACTTGGCTGGAGACTTCTTGAACTTGCAGGGAGAATAACTCGCGCTCCCCACTTTGCGCCGGTGCCTTTGCCCCTGCGGACGCAGCCTCGCCGCCTCCGAACCCCGCCGCGTCTCCACTCCTCCGCTGGGCCCGACCCCAAGACGCCGTTCCCTGCGTGAAGAAAGGGACTGCCCGGCCGGCACCCGGGAGGAGAAGGAGGAGGCAAAGGAAGGGAACCCGGTCCCTGCTCCAGGTCCTTCGGCCAGAGCTTTTTCCATGTGGAGGCTCTTTCAATGGACGTGTCCCCGCGTGCTTCTTAGACGGTCTGCGGTCTCCTAAAGGTAGAGGACGTGGGCCCGGGATAGGGACTGGGGGGGTGGTGGCGGAGCCCGTCCCGGGCCGGGCCTGGCCGGACGTAAACAGGCCCCCCTTCAGGTCCACGTGCAGCCGTGCCCCTGCGGGGATGCCCCTATCCTACCGCCCCCGGCGACCCGTCAGCCTCGCCCTCCTGGCTCGCACTCTTCCGCCCCTCCTCCCTCCCCTCTCTTCGGTATTTTATTAGGGCTGTTAACACTTAGATGATTAAAAAAAAAAAAAAGTCAAAGAAATCCTTTCCAGAGGGTGGCCCCTGGATTTCACCCGTTAGCTGCCAACCTGTACGCCCTGCCATGGCGATTCCTTTTGCCTTCTTCAGTGTTCTGTGGGAGACCTGCTCTCTGCTCAGCGCCGCGTACCATTTGGGAAAAGACTACAAGTTGGGGTTCTCCCTGTTTGTTTCCAGGAATGTGAGGGGGGCAGTACTTCAGTGCCACCTTGTTACTGACACGTGAATTAATAGATATTAGCCATTTACGTAATCCCAGGAAGATACATGTGCATCTTGACTGCATTAGGAGGGGTTCGGGGATAGAGTGGCCTGTCCTGACACCTCTGAGGTTAGAGGCGTGGGCCACAAGTTGCAAGTGGCTTCAAGTTGCAAGTGGCTTCGGAAGTTGTGGCCTTGAGTTTACTGGGTCTGGAAGTTATAGACTCTATGTGTGTGTGTGTGTGTGTGTGTGTGTGTGTGTGTATCAGGAAGTTCTATACAGTGCCTCTGAGGAAGTCACATGCACCATTTGTGCGTGTTTATATGCAGGCGAGAGCTGGGCAGTGTGTGTTTGGGTTTGTTTAGGGGACGGTGGGGTGTCAGACCAAGCAGTGGTTTCCCCAGGTTCCCTTAACTGGCTGTCGGCGCGAATGTCACAGAATAAAGGGTGACAGTCATTGACTCGGGGGAAGGTGCAAATCATGTCAGACGGATTGAGAGTAGGATGGGAGAGGGAAGCCTTCTGGCTCAGGAACTAGGGGCCTTCCATTCTCCCAAACTTTCGGGCTGCAGCTCCTCTGAAGTATCCCCGGCGAGTGTTGCAAGCCAGGTGGGAACCCTGGAGGAGGAAGCAAGCGGACCGAGCGGGAGCCGGGGCCGCGGGGGCGGAAGGGGGGAGGGCTGGGCGGGGAACTCGGTGACTCACGTCGGCCCTGTCCGCAGGTCGACCATGGTGGCCGGGACCCACTGTCTTCTAGCGTTGCTGCTTCCCCAGGTCCTCCTGGGCGGCGCGGCCGGCCTCATTCCCGAGCTGGGCCGGAGGAAGTTCGCGGCATCGAGTGGCCGCTCCTCGTCCCAGCCCTCGGACGACGTCCTGAGCGAGTTCGAGTTGCGGTTGCTCAGCATGTTCGGCCTGAAGCAGAGACCCACCCCCAGCAGGGACGCCGTGGTGCCCCCCTACATGTTGGACCTGTACCGCCGGCACTCGGGCCAGCCGGGCGCGCCCGCCCCGGACCACCGGCTAGAGAGGGCAGCCAGCCTCGCCAACACGGTGCGCAGCTTCCACCACGAAGGTGAGGCGAGGGGCAGGGAGTGGGGGCGGAGACGGGGGCGGGGAGTCGTCCCGCAAAGCGCCCCACAGTGGGCAGACTGCAGGCATCCCTGGAAGGGCAGCCTGGCCGGAGTGCCAGAGACGTTTCCATTCCTGCCTCTGTAAGAACCTTTTGGAACCTGGTTTTAACGCACTCCCTGTGTGGCGGGGGAGCCAGGGATTCCCCTTTGGTAAATCCTCACCTTTTTCCTGGCTTGCAGCCAGAAGAGCGACTCCTCCTCCAGGAACTGGAGAGAAATCAAGTGATGGGGAAGATGAGGGCAAAAGGTCTGCGCCTAGTCAGCTAAAGGTGCCAGAATTCCACAGGGGAAGCAGGGGAAGGAGGGCACAGACTGGGATCTCGTGAAGTCTGTTTGGAAGCCTTTGCTCTATAAATCTGCTTCCCCTGCTTCAGCTGCGGTTTCAGACTGGAGAGAGCCAAGAGCAGAATTTTCAGAGATAGTATTGAAAAATCAAAGCCCAGGGCCCCAAAGTCTTTCTAATTTACAGTTGATCTGGGTCTGGTTTGGAAGATTTCAAATCCCTATCTAATCTCCGTGGGAGATCAATTCCACAATCAATCTTATTGTTTCCACAATGACTTTCTTGTCTTGTGCTTAAATCTGAGATGAACTCCCCGGTGGAGACAAAGCAAGCCTTCAGATAAAAGCTTTTGCAGCAGCTGCCTGTTTTCCTTCATGTGCATTGAAATGTGGACCTTTTTTTTCTTTTATGATACTGGATGTGGTTTTTCTAAGGTAGGATATTTCTGCTTGTTTCATCAGAAAGGCATTTAGTGGATTTGAAATGTCTTAGAGCAGCTATTGAGGTCTGTTGTACCCAAGTTCTTAGAGCAATTAGTTAAAAACATGTTCCATCTCAATTCTTTCTATACTTTTAAATGCCCCTTTGGCTTAATACATTATAAATAGAGCACAGGGTTCTTTCAAGCTCTAGAGAAGGATATGAATTTGTACATCACAGGGCAGCCAGCCGCTTGTAGGATATTGGGGAGATGGAAGTGAAGTTCCCCTTTTCTTGCCTTGTCCTGATGAGGTGGTAAATTTCAAGTGGATATCTACGCTCTGATATACAGAAATCAGAAATGTCACAGCCAGACATTTTCTCCCAGTGTGAAAGATGACCTAGACTTGTGAGAACAGCAGTCGATAGTGGGAAGGAGTCCCAAAGGCAGGTCACATAACAAAAGGTACTTTTTCATCAAGGCAGCCATATATTATGAAGGGGACACTGAATTGATAAATCAGATTTTTCCAGCACATTTCCAAGTGAGGTGTTCTCTGCTAGGAGAAATCAGATTTGAAAGGCAGTAAGATCTCCTTCTAGTCCTTTAGGATTCGTCGAGGGAAAGCAGAAGTTGTCTGTTGTCATATGTAGAGAAGTTTTCGTTCATGTACATCCTGTGATCACAGCCCTGGGGTGATTATTGAGCCGGCTCTTCATTCCCAGCTGATGCTGATTAGAATAGTTTTTCTGGATAGAAAACTAACAAGAATGACTGTTTTAGCCACCTCTCCTGGAAATTTAGCATGGAAACCATTCTTAACTTTATTTTTAAGGTCAGGAAGATACTGTGTGTGTCTTATAACTTAAAAGGAAGAACTCTTTGGTCATTGGACACCTAAAACATTCAGTTGCATGAGGATTCCATCCATGAAGTCTCCACATTTCTTCCTCTAGAAGTGGCTTGATCAAAACTGAACAGGCTGCAAATTATTTGAGTGTTATTTTAACTTAAATAGCATGCTTGAATTTATGTCAGAATTTATATCTTTAAAAGTGTAAATGTCATGTGCAAAATAGTACAGAAGTTACCAACTTGCTTAAAATCAACTTGCAGTAACTTCAGATCTTAATGCAATTAGGTGATAGAGAACAGCTATGTAATTTTTGCCCCAAATTTCAGCAAATCCATTTCTTTTCTTGTTATGACTGTCTATCATCATTAGGTCACATATTGCACCTTTTCATTTTTGTATAACAAAGGATTTGGTTTTTATAAACATCCTTGCGCCATGCATGGCACTAAAAATCTTTTAATAAACCATGTGACTAAGCTGCTGGCTTAAGAGCAGAATTTGGTTCATACAGCATTAATGGACATTTATTTGGTAAAGGACTAAGGGACATGATTACAAGAATTACCTGTTGGTTTTATTCGTGGGTGGGATCTGGATGATTTGGTGAAATTACAAGATGAGATATCATGATGGAGTTCTTTCAACCAATGTGTGAAGATAATGTGACCACATGGTAGGCGATCTGAGACAAAATTATCAGTTGTCATTTCTTGTATTAAACTTTGTCTTCTTTCTACAATGGCTTTTCTTCGTGAGTGTCCAAGTGCTGCAAAAATTTTCTTTTTTCAAAATTGTTAAAAAGTGCTTCAGCCACATAGGCCCTTCAGAACTGTCACTGAGGACAGAAAAATCACTTCTCTGACTGGAAAGAGTGTTTTGTGCTTTCCTAGTTAAAAACACATTGAAATTGGTTGACTTCATTGGCCCTGAAAAAAAGTCTGTATGCTTTCCTGTCAGATCGGAATATAGAAGGATCACGTGCTTGCTTTCCAGACTCTGAAGGACACAATCTGCTTTTTGCATGAAATAACTGAATTATTTGCCTCTATGACTAAAGCTTTGAAATAGAGATTAACCCTGTTCCCACAAATGTAATTATCGTGAAAATTATCCATATAATAGGAAAGTTCAAGAAACAACCATTGCCCTGTGAAAGAGAACTTATATCACAAATTCCCATTGCAGCCAAAGGATTTGGACACACACACCCTCAAAACCAGTACCTACCTGGTGTGCTTCCCTAAGCGTCCCCGAGTATTTCAGTGTGATTACAAAAAGCCCCAGTAAATAGAGCAGGCCTGCTATTTGGAAATGCTCATAGAGATTGTGGCTTTGGTGACCAGTGATAGTTCGTGCGCTAACATTTTCTCTTTCACCTCTTTCTGCATGGTTCCTCTGTATTCTCTCTTGATCCCCTCTCATTGAGCTATTTTGTCTTTTTTTGGACTTGCCCTTTGTGTATTTCACTAAGTAGTTAGACAACAATAAGAGAGCATGCCATCATTCCAAAGGTGTTGGGGCTAGGGGTGGGCAGAGGCAAATCAGGGTTAGTGATGATGACCATGCTCTTTCTTTGGCAGCCATCTCCTTTGTTATCTTTAAAAAAAAAAAAAAAAAAAAACTGATTGCTTCTAACCTTTTGTATTTTATCTTTTTTCTCCTTGCCATATCAATTCTATAACCATTATTTTATATTCTAGAAAATATTATTTATTATTTTAACCCACTTTCATTTAATTTCAGAGCAGTGATTTCCAACCTTACTGATTTGCTAGAACATCTCCCATTGTTATTAATTTCTTAATGGACTTTTTTGCCCAAAGAGTGTTGCAAAATTCTCAAAACGTAGTAATAACTCACTTTTTGCTAAGATGTGCCATACTGCAGGACAAAAAGGCAGCCACAAAATATCAGTGGTTCCAAACAAGGTCTTTGTGTCCCAGTGGGCCCTGCCACTTTACTCAACTGCTCCTTTAGTTCTGTCTGCTCTCTCCACCAAACATGGGTAGTATATTTCTGTCCCTTTAGCTGGGAAAGAACTCACCCTATGGTTATCATTGTATTAAATATCAGTGTGCCCCTAATGCTTTTGACTTTTGTTTGCATTTTTGACTCCTCCGCTATGTTATGTAGTGCCGTCTAGTGGCCAGAAACTTGGGAACTGCAGTAGACTCTAGTTCATAGCTCTGCTCTTCATTTCCTAGTTCTGTGACCTTAGGAAAGTCACATAACCTCTCTGAACTCCAACAGTTTCATTTACAAAATGGAGATAATAACAGTTCCTTCCTCTCTAATCAATTCGTTCTGAGGTAATTTATATATCATATAAAGCTCTTAGTGCCAGACATGGCACAAAAAAGCATTCATCACACTAGCCATTATTATCACGATGACTTCATTCTTTTATGTCACATTCTCCCCTTGCCTAGGGAAGGGTTGTACCTGGGCTGGCTGAGGGAAGTTGGTCTCATCTTTTGGATTATTTTCATGTAGATGAATAATTGACAGGGTGTAGATGATTAAGTTAGAACTTGACTTTTGGAGGAGAGGTTGAATGTCGTTGTTGCCTTATTTTCCTTTACTGCCCCACATTTTTGCATTCATACCTCCATTTATTTGGTTGAGAACTTAGAGGTTCAGGAACCCAGGTCTAAGATAGGCCGGACTCCTCAAATCCATTGGCAAGTTCAGATTATTCAACAAGTGTTATTTATAGAGAATAAATATCTGTATAAATCTCCAGAAAAGCATACATTACCTACTTAATTAAATGCTCTATATTTTCAGAATCCCCAGGTTTGCTGTGATAATTCGCAGAAGGTTTTTTCTTTAATTTACTTTATTTCAAATAGGTTTTGTTTCTTCTACCCTCAAGAAAAGATTCACCTTGGTTCCTTGCAGATCAAAGGAAAGGGTGGAAGGGCACTAACCTCGGGCAGTTGTTTTCCTGGGTTTGGGGGTTTCTGTGAACTTCTGACTTACCTCTGTGACCTGAGTCTACAGTCAGGGGTGTCGTCAGTCATGGAGGCTTTTGTATTAAGGAGAGAGAAGGATCTTTCAAGGAGATGCAGCTGGAAAGTTGGAGAAAGGTCTTCCCATTACTTGTTATTATTTAATAGTGCAATTTTTCTCTTTCTGTAAGGTTGCTAAGTGATTATCCTTTTTGCCACCTCCATTGAGATTTTGAAGCACATGCAATTGCTGCTTTTATAGGTCAAATCTGATTGAGTGGTGACAATTTTATATAATTCAATATGATCTTATAGTTATCTTTTGGAGGGTTATTGTTCTATTTTATGCCTCCTTTATACCCATCTTCTTTGCTTCCTTTACCCGTCTCCCATCGTTCCTTAGAGATTGTCCTTTCTTTGTCATCCTCTGATTGGGTGTGTGTGTGTGTCTTTGTGTTTATAATTGCTTTTTTTTATTTATGGATTTGGGTTCAGGGTTTTTGTTGCCGCTGTGATTTCTCTGGACACCTTCATTAATATAGCTGTTCAGCAAATGCCCTGGATAATTTGCCTTTCCTTCCCCTTCTTTAAAAAAGAAGAGAGTGTTCTTAGGTGTGCTGGTATCAGAGAAGTCAGTCGCTCAGGCCCAGGTCTGGCTTTGTGTCATTGCATCTGGGGGATGCTGCTGATTTTTACATCACTCCTTTTTTCTCTGGGAGCTGTTGGCTTTTCTGCTGAAAGAATGCCTTCAGTGGAAACATCAGAGGGCTCCTGAATTGCAGGGAGGAGAGGAAAAAAGAAGCTAAATACAATCCTTGCTACTTGTTGGAGCCACTGAGGGGCCCTGGTTCCATTGGTAGGAGGGTTATTGTAAAAGTAGTGCCTGGCCTGAAGTACCTTAGCTTACGCTGAGGTTTAGAATATGGATGGCTCCCGAAAGGTGTCCCCAGCAGCTGTGGATTAGCAGGCACGAGGGGACCATGGAGGGCTCACTTTTTGGCCTGATAGTTTTGATGTCCAAGTAGATGAGCTTTAGAAGATCTTTCTGTTCTGAGTCTCTAGCTGCCCATCTATGCCCTCAACTCTTATTCCTTGGCCAATACAAATGATTCTTCTACTCATTTTTATATTATTTGACAAAAGGCACTTTAAAATATGCTCCTGGAAATTTATACTTGAATGTGAAAAGCATCCTTTAAAACCTTTACACTCAAAGGGCACTCCACCAGCTCCCAGCATCGCCTCACCAGGGAGCTTGCTGGAAATGCTGAATCTCAGGCCCCACTGCAGACCCACTGAATCAGAATCTGCATTTGAAGATTTAAGGTGTTCTAGGTGTTTTGTGTGGAGGCTAAAGTTTGAGAAGTGACACATTAAAGCATTACTCTATAATTTGGTGTCAACTGCTTCTGTTGAACTCAGTGCTTCTGGGAAGCTTGCAATGATGACTGTTGCTTGATGATGAAGGTTTACACGGGTGGATCCTTTGAGTGAGTGATCTGAAGCGATTCTCCTTTGCTGAGGCATCTAGATTCTGTGAACAATGTATAGCTGTTTGATTTAGGGGAAATACAACCATAAAATGAGTGAAAATATGGTTTCCTCTATGGTGAGAACATGGTACTATGGCCAAATAGATTTTGTTAGCACTTAGGTTGGATCCTGAATGAAGCAGGTAAATTTTTTTGACAGTGAAATGACAGAATGTGGTAAATATTGGAAAATGTGGAAAATAAACCCAAATATCTCAAATCCTAGTGCTGTTTGCTATCAGTTTAATAATTATATACCTTTGATGATCTGCAGACTACAACATTCAAGGTGCTATGTTATATTTTTGTTTGCTTGGAAAGCAGTACTTAAAATTGAAATAGAAGAATCTTAAATCAGGAAGAACTTTTATGCATAGCCCACTTAAATGACTGTTTTGAAATAATGATAATAGATATAGAATGATGAGATTATCCCTTACATCATGAATATCATAATGGTATTTTTATAGATTTTTATAATTTTTTTTTGGTTTTGTGTCTATTTTGCAGCCTATTATTGGATAGGTGTATATTTTTAAAAAAATATAAAGGAATTACAAACAGAAGAGAGTCATTTTTTTCTTCCAGAAGCATCTAAAATGAGATTTTGATTTTTGAGGTCATAAGGAAGTGAGAGAACAGACAAAATTTGGAAGGTATTTCTCTTGAAATTGTCTGGCCTTGATTACTGCAGTGTCCTAGTACCACTCTTACATTCCTGAAGAAGCAGATGCCTGTAAATGCCTTTGTCTCTGGACTTTTGAGTAAAATAGTAGAGTGTGCTTTGCAAAATGTCATCGTTGATGTTGACTTTCAGAGTCTTTAATTAGGAAACTGAAATCTGTATATCGAGATTTGTAAATCATCTAAATTGCAGAGTGATGTTTTAGAATACCGCTTAAGGGATTGACATTAAAGCCTTTTTCTTTTTAAGAAATGCAATAATTTCCTCAAATCCTCACTCATTAGACGTCTACTAACTATAGTGCTGACTTTTTTTTTTTTGCCCTAAAGTTTGTGAATTCCAAAGAAATGCTTCACCATTGCCCCCATTATTATAACCAACTAGAAGCAGTATTCATGTATTGGATTAGAAACAGTAACAATGAATTGTGAAATTTTGCTTCATGGTATACATAAATGTTGACATTTATGGTTGACATAAATGTATAGAAAAGGGAGAATCCTTTTTTATCTAAAAGGGAAATTTTTATTTTCTAGTTGCGAATTTTTTCATGGGTTTAAATCAAACCCTGAAGTGAGGTTCGCAAATTTGTATATTTAATCAGATTGTCATTACTTATCTTACTAAATGACTTTTCTTCTTTTTCCACCTTTTTATGTCAAATTAGAATCTTTGGAAGAACTGCCAGAAACGAGTGGAAAAACAACCCGGCGATTCTTCTTTAATTTAACTTCTATCCCCACTGAGGAGTTTATCACCTCAGCAGAACTTCAGGTTTTTCGGGAACAGATGCAGGAAACTTTGGAAAACAATAGCAGTTTCCATCACCGAATTAATATTTATGAAATTATAAAACCTGCAACAGCCAACTCGAAGTTCCCTGTGACCAGACTTTTGGACACCAGGTTGGTGAACCAGAACACAAGCAGGTGGGAGAGATTTGACGTCACCCCTGCTGTGATGAGGTGGACTGCACAGGGACTCGCCAACCACGGATTTGTGGTGGAAGTAGCCCACTTAGAGGAGAACCGAGGTGCCTCCAAGAGACACGTTAGGATTAGCAGGTCTTTGCACCAGGATGAGCACAGCTGGTCACAAATCAGGCCATTGCTGGTAACTTTTGGCCATGACGGGAAAGGACATCCTCTCCACAAAAGAGAGAAGCGTCAAGCAAAACATAAACAGCGGAAACGCCTTAAATCCAGCTGTAAGAGACACCCTTTGTACGTGGACTTCAGTGATGTGGGGTGGAATGACTGGATCGTAGCCCCCCCAGGGTATCATGCCTTTTACTGCCATGGGGAATGCCCTTTTCCCCTGGCTGATCACCTGAACTCCACTAATCACGCCATTGTTCAGACGTTGGTCAACTCAGTTAACTCTAAGATTCCTAAGGCGTGCTGTGTCCCAACGGAACTCAGTGCTATCTCCATGCTGTACCTGGATGAAAACGAAAAGGTTGTATTAAAGAACTATCAGGACATGGTTGTGGAGGGTTGTGGGTGTCGTTAGCACAGCAAAGTAAAATAAATATATATATATATATATATTTTAGAAAAAAGCAAAAAAAAAGAAAAACCAAGTTGACACTTTAATATTTCCCAATGAAGACTTTATTTATGGAATGGAATGGAGAAAAAAAAAACACAGCTATTTTGAAAATATATTTATATCTACGAAAAGAAGTTGGGAAAACAAATATTTTAATCAGAGAATTATTCCTTAAAGATTTTAAAATGTATTTAGTTGTACATTTTATATGGGTTCAACCCCAGCACATGAAGTATAATGGTCAGATTTATTTTGTATTTATTTACTATTATAACCACTTTTTAGGAAAAATAGCTAATTTGTATTTATATGTAATCAAAAGAAGTATTGGGTTTGTACATAATTTTCCAAAAATTGTAGTTTTTTTTCAGTTGTGTGTATTTAAGATGAAAAGTCTACATGGAAGGTTACTCTGGCAAAGTGCTTAGCACATTTGCTTTTTTGCAGTGCTACTGTTAAGGTCACAAGTTCAAGTCCAGAAAAAAAATGGATAATCCACTCTGCTGACTTTCAAGATTATTATATTATTCAATTCTCAGGAATGTTGCAGAGTGGTTGTCCAGTCCATGAGAACTTACGTCCTTATTAGGTGATATATTTGGATAAGAACCAGACATTGCTAATCTACTATAGAAACCCTCCCCCCACTCCTTAATTGCAGAAAGAATAAAGCAGGACCAATAGAAATAATTAGGAAAATGACGAATCTGCAGGAAAGTGAATGATGGTTTGTTGTTCTTCTTTCCTAAACTCTAGTGATCCCTTCAAAGGGACTGGTCTGGCCAAAGTATTAAATAAAACATAAGATTTCTTCATTATTGATATTGTGGTCATGTATATTTAAAACTGAGATCTAGTGGCCCTCATGAGGAGTTGGAAATTGATTTGTATTTAACTTTTACCTCATCTGGGAGCTCTCTATGCTCAGAAGGACCTAATTTTCTAACTTTGCCCAACACAAAGCAAAATTGTGCCCATCACATTTTCTGCCCACCCCCTGTTCTCTGTTTGATCAGCTTGCTTTTCTTTCCGAGGCTGTGTGTTTGAACACATTTCTCCAAATGTTAAACCTATTTCAGATAATAAATATCAAAGCTCTGGCATTTCATTCTATAAAATCCAACCTATAAGAGAAAATGGTGCATTTGTACAGCGTTCACAATGATTACCTTGTGTTTGCATTTTCGCTTCTGAAGTTATTTTGGAGGGAGGTGGGGAAAAGGCAAGGAGTGGTTGGAAATTTGCAGGCAAGTCATTTGGTAATTCATTGGAATTACCAATGATTTAGTATTTCATGTGAACCTCTTTGGGGCACAAAGATTTAAGAGAAACCAAAGCTACAAAACAAGCAAAACCTGGAGAACTCAAGATAAAGTTTCAGAGATGATATCCCATGCAACAGAGGCCACGGTGCCAAAAAATTAGAAAGGGAGAGTGTCTGAGATCAGCTTCTCCAAGGACGTCTGCCAGTTGGACTGATGCCCAAGCACCATGAAGTCGAAATAGGCCGCTCAGAATGAACACTTAGTGGCAGGACTTCTGGGCTCTAGGTTGAAATCAGACCCAAAGAAGGGTTTGGGGGGTAGGTTTGGACAACCAGGGAACCCACAACTCCTTACTATTTTACTGGAAGTATTTTAGGTCAATTTCTAGGACTTTGTGTCACCTCTGACCCTGCTATGATTGGTGAGGCCTAGTTCTAATCTCCTTTCCTAGCCCGGCCTTGGAATTGGCGGAAAAAATATTGTGTTAGTAAAGGAACAGACTGTTGTAATTCCTGGGCTAGATTCTGCCCAGGAATTAACGGGATGACCATGAACGTAGTTAGATTTTGGGTGTGATAGGTTTAACCCTTGCCTCGAGATTATGTAAATCATATTTTTAAATTGATACTAGTTATCTTTTACTCCTTCCACTTCTGAAATCTTTCTTTAGTATCTTTTTATTCCTATCCCTATTGCTCTGACATAGGTGAGAATCATTAGTATTAGACCCAAGTTTGGAGGGCAAAATCGTGTATCCTCCAGCCATTCTTCACCCTCTTGCCATGGATATGACAGCAGGCTACACAGTCTTAACATCTTAGAAAATAATAATCCATGTTTTCTCATCTCCAAATACTTGAGAGTGAGAGAGTATAGCATAAGAATTTCCATCCCTTGGGCAGTTCCATCCATTGTTTTGCTTTCTCTGCTTCCCTGTTAATTTTTCTTGGTTAAAATTGTTTTCAATGGTATCAACTCAAATGTGTTCTCTTGCATGTTTTTTATATATATATATAATATATATACACATATGTGTAAATATATATACATTTATATAATATGTAATATGTATAAATATACATTGAAGATATATGTAATATATATTACATATGTATAGATGACGGCATTTTCAGTTTCAGGTTAGTTCCAGAGATTTTGTAATAGTTGAGGACTCTGACCCTCTTGGCAGCTCATTTGAGAAACAGAATCTGCTTACATACATTCTACGATCTTACAGACATTTTGACTCACCTTCTTCATTCTGAGAAAAAACGTATGATAATGAACCCATAACACTGAATCATCTCTTGAATCTTCAGTCACTATTCTGTGGGAACCTTTGAATCCTTTTAGAATTGGCTTTAAAAAAAAATGTAGTAGTTTCTGAATTTGGGAGGAATCACCTTTCAAAATTGATTAAATTGTGTCATCTGTTTTTGTGCTTTTCTAGGCTGCATCATGTGTCTCTTTGGCATGGCTTTAATGTGTATGGCAGGTCCAGATTGCTCTGTTCATTTTTTGCCTTCAAAATTGGGGAAGGGTAGAATGAGTGGTTTACAAATTTATCTGTGCTTCCATCTTTTCATAATTTCTACCCAATTACTACTTTAAATTGTACATCAAGAGGCCAAGTGGAGAGATGATCTGTAAATCTGGTCTATGTTGCAATCTATATAATCACTAGATAATCTAAGTGTCCCATATTTTTTCCCTTCATATTTTATTGGAGGTAGAAAAGTCATTTGTGCAATTCAAAGAACTTTTAAAAATAGCATATTTCTATTCTACTAGCATGTTGATTCACTGAATGTTTATATGCTGTAGCTCCCCAATCTGTTATAAGACAAAAGGAGCATAGCCTTGCAGTATAAAGTAAGTCTAGAGTAAGTGTGACATGATTTATTTTTTGCAGGGGGTGGGTAGGGTGGATAAAGATAGGGGATAAAATGCAAGTCTGCATCACTCAGGTAAATTGCTTTTCCTCTTTCCTTCACTCTGCTGACATAAATTACAGCCTTATGGTATTCTCCAGGGCAGAGTTTTCTGGCCATCTCCCTACCCTGCAAACTTCAAAGTGAACGTCTACCTAACTTGGGGGACCAATGCTCTAAATAAGACTTCTCAGATTTTAGTGTGCATATGAGTCACCAGTACTGCCTCAAGGAGAATGCAATGTTAATGTGTGTACAGACCCCTTGGGATCATGTTATAATATAGGTTCCGTTTCAATGAGTCAGGGTGGGGCCTGAGATTCTGCATTTCTAACATGCTTCCAGGTGAAGCTGTTAAGTGCTGGCCCAAGGACTATCCTTTGAGTAGCAAAGCTCTAATATTAATTATCTTCTGGATTACAACAGCAGAAAGTTGGACAAAGTTTAGGCCCCTCTCTAAGAAGTAGTACGTAATGGAAAAACAAAACTCGTATACAGGATGGCATTTGAACACCTTTCACCATATCTGAAATGGTGCCCTACATATTTTTTTCAAAGGCATTCCTTTCCCCCACAAGATGACTGGCAATTTTGTGTTCTAGCCACCCTCAGACATGAAAACACTTGGTTGCTTATCTTGTAAAATCGGCTCTGCTTGCTTGCTTGGGCATGTATGTAGTCAGTTTAGTCAAATACGTGTCAGTACATCTATGTGGATGGGGGAGCAGGTGCAAGCCCTGAACGTACTTTAAAAAAGTTGAACACTTAAGTCAGTTCATGGAGTTGATCCCGTGTGATCTTAGTGCCAAGCGTCTGAGTTAAAAATTTTCCCTTTGAAGGCAGCAAATAGATGTCATACATTTGCAGCATTTGTTTATACTAAAAATGATGCTTGATTTTTTTTTTTTAAAGTTCTAAGACAGTTCACTGTACACCATTGAGCCTAGAGGGTGATATAAAGCTGCCCAAGCTGGTATTTGAGGGTTGATTTAATGTATATTGGAATTTGTGAGGCTGAGGTTGGCTTTGAATAAGGAGCTGAAGTGAATGGGCTCAGGCTAGAAAGAGCACAAAGAATTGGTTTCTCTCTGCAAAGGGAGTCAGCAAAGAAATAACTTGGTGTTGGCACCTCTTTTTTAGCAAAATGTCTTATGAAGGTCATCTGTTTAGTAGCCTGATTTTACTTTTTAGGGGAGCACTTTGAAGGTTTCTTACAAGCAATTCAGATTTGAAAATTTGTTAAAGAAATGCTGGAATGAGTGAATTCCTAATCTCAAATACACCTCTTATATTTTTATATATAATATAGACATATATATACACACACATATGTATATACAAACATACACACACACAGATATATACATACATATATATGTTTTCCCTTGAAGATATATATATAGATATATATATATATATATATACGCCCCAGGGGAAAAAATTTGATTTGTTCCTGTCTGAGATCCAAATGCAGAGTGTAGGGTGCCTAATTTTTTATTAATTGGGTTTATCATTTCGTTTAGAGCTCTAAATTTTGAATTGAATCCCTCTGAGGTGCTTAAACAGGACGCCAGAGACTGACTTGAACACCGCTTCGAGCCTGCATTTGCCCCGCGCCCTGGGTCCGCTTTGCCCTCCTTGTTGCAGTCCGTTCTGACGAGGAGATCTCTGCAAACCACTGACTTGCTTAAAGCTTCCCTCGTAAGGAGCAGGATCTCATCTGGACCGCATTTACACTGGAACCACTTGGCCACAACACTATGAGAGAATAATTATTGAACTATTTTACTGTACAACTATTTCCAAATTGTTGATTTTTTATTGATTTCAGGAGGCAAGCTAATTGCCCCATGGCAACGTGATGTGAACGTTTAATGAAGATCAGGAAACAGGGTTTATGAAAAGCTTTTGTATAGTAACTGCAAAGTTTCAAGAACTGTTTTATACTTCCTGACAGTGCTGGGCCGAGCTTAATGGTTTGTTTTTATTACTTAAGAGTGTAAACCTTGCTTTAGCCCGGTGTGTGGAAACTATACCCTCATCCCGCATTACGCATTTTCAAGTTGCTTTTTACTCACTCCTGACTTCCTTTCCTACCATCTACAATCAGGACTTTTTCTGTTTTGTCTGAAGGTGAGTTTCTATCTTTGCACGCTGAGAATCTTAACACACACGCAAACACACTCATGAAGTTAAATGTCCGTATTGTTTCACTTTGTTTTGGGTGGAGTTTCTTTTCGGCACTTGGTTGCTAGACAACCAAGCAGACAAAAGTTAAGGATTGAAAAGGCATTTTTAAAGATGTCGAATCCTGGCAGCTGAACTATTTTATCTTTGTCTTTATATGGAAGGCTTAGTTTTCTTACCAGGTTACCCTGGCCTTTGTTGGGTAGATGGCTGGTAGAAGCTTTTTTGAAGTGGAGCTCTCAAGGCATTATCTGTTTGAGAAGTTGTTCCCATTTGCTGGAATACGCTTCCCACCTGGATGGACAAAAAAAGCCAGCTTAGTTTCCAAGGGTGTGTTTTAAATCACTAATAAAGTTGAGCTCCAGCTCCCAGCTGCTTTGATTGTTGCAGGGCAAAAAGGTAGAGAAAAGATTGCTTTTTGAGGCAACATTCAGAAACACAAGACTTCAGTCTGCAGAGAACACTGTCTCCAGGAAGCTGCAATTGCTTTTTTGGTAGATAGTATTGGAAAGGTTAAAAAAAATCTTAAAAGCCTAATTTTAAATCAAAGTCATTTAAATTGCTCATTTCAGTAAGATGTTTCAGGAGCGTGTTATAAATACATGATCTTTATACATCTGCCAAGTTGGACATGTGTTCACAAGTTCATCTTGCATGTGTACACAATTTGTAGCTGACATGCTTTCCTCACTCCAGGTCTGCCCTTTTCCCTCGTTCATCCTCTGAGATGCTGTCTCTCT